TGAGTCCATGTGTGAGGGTGTAAGGGTGTCTGGGTGTGAGCCTGTGTGTGAGGGTGTGAGTCTGTGTGTGAGGGTGTGAGTTTGTGCGTGAGGGCGTCAGTATGTGTCTGTCAGTGTTCAGATAGCCGAGTGAGGATGAACGGTGACACCACAGAGGGAATCAGGAAGTGACATGGAGCTTAGCGTCCCCTCCCTCCCAGGAGTCCGAAGCAGCTGTCACCTGAGGCCAAAGACACAGCCCCACCCGACCTCAGCGACCTCTGAGGCTGGACTCCGGCGTCACTGTGTCCAGATACAGAGCATCACTGAGAGCCTCTCAAACACAAGGGCACCAGGGGTCCTCTCGGCACCTAAGGCGCCGCTAAGAACACCCCGCAGCGCGCCCCTCCCACAGCCCACGTGGCACAGCTGTGGCGGCAGGCGCAGAGCGAGGGGCACTTCAGGGCGTTGCTGTCGCTGCAGCCCAGCAGCGCAGAGACGTAGAAACAAGCGCAAGGAGGAGCAGGCGCTGCCCGTCCCACCGTCCCACCAGAACGGGAAACGGGAGTGGGAGCAACCGACAGCAGGCGGCTCTCGGCCCTTGGAGGACTCCGCATAACACAGGCGAACAGCAGCTGCCACACCTGCACCCGCCGCCCGCCCACCCAGAGCTGCGCCCCGCCCAGGGCATGGTCCTCCTCGCTCCCCAGAAGGAGGATCCTGCAGGGTCCCCCGTGGTCAAATCAGCCCAACTGTCGTGCTGACAGCTGCTCTGAGACACACCACAGAAGACGAAGGCCCAAAGCTGCGTCCCAGGCAGAGCCCGGGGGACCCACAGCTGACCCGGGACGGGGAACACGGGGCTAACGCCTGGACACACCCCAGGCTGGCTGGGGCCGGCGGCCCCCTCCTGAGCGTGAGGGCTGTGACACAGGTGACACCCAGCTCTGGACCCACCGATGGGCCCCTTAGGAAAAAATCACTTTTCCCACTTAGGAATCAGCACAGTGCCCGGCCAGCAGCTTGTGTCACATGTACCCCGCGTGTGAGAGTGCCAGCCTGCAGCCTTGGTCCCACATAGCTGTGTCTCCAAACAGGGACGGGTGGCAGAGGAGGAAGAGTGTCCAGACTTACTTTTCCGGCAGCTTAACGAACTTTCCATGGCTGTGCCCAGAGCCCCGACATCCTCTTCTCCAAGGTCTCAGCCCAGAGGGGAGCGGACACCCTCCCGCAAACGCCCCAGGAGGAGGCAGCCCTGGCAGGTAGCAGGGGCCGAGGGATAAGCGCTCATCCGCCATCCTCTCTGCAGCAGACCACCGCGACCCCAGGACCAAGTAACCACGTCAGATCAACTAAACATCTAACTGACCAAATAAATGAATTGGCCAGACAATGAAACCTCAAAACAACTAGACACCTGAGCACTGAACCCCCCAGTGGCTGTCTGAGTGACGACTGCCGTGTGCCTGGCTCTGCTGCGGGCCCCTCCCATCCCCGTCTGAGTTGCAGGGGGCTGCAACCTCTTCCAGCTGCTTCTCCCCCAAAGGCAGGGCTTTCTGCTTGGCCAAGAGACGGGTCCTCTACAAATGCCATTTCCCTGGTGACCTCCAGGCAGGAATAGGGCCACTATGGATGTGCACACACACACGTGCACTTACACATACAGCACACACACTCACACGTGCCCAGTGTGCACACTCACCCACCTGCCAACGTGCTTACTCAGCAGTGCAGGCACCCATGTTACCTGTCTGTGGTCACGATGCCACAGCCAGGGTCAGGGCCAGCTACACAGCAGGGGCCCACTGACCAGTGTGGGACACGGGAGGTGCTGCGGGGCGGGTGTGCAGCCAGATGGAGCCGGCGGTTCCAGGGCTAGACCCAGCCCGGCCCAGAGAGCAAGCTGCCATGGAGCGTCTCTGTTCTCCTGTGGCCCACCCTGTGACCAGGACATAGGCCAGACTTTCCTGCCTCCCTTCCAGGGCCAGGCCTCCACACAGCCCACTGCGGGCTCTGGCCCTGGTCTGGGCACTTTGCCCAAACTCTGAAGCCCTGAATACCTCCAGACGTGCTTCTGCCACGTGCCTGAGGTTCGGCCAAACTGCGGGACGATCAGTTTTCCCCACAGGAACTTCCCTGAGCTCTGTCCCAGTACCAAACCTTTGCAGAGACATTTCTGGAAACTGCACGAAATCTCAGGCTGAGATACCACCTAGAATCTCTTGGCTCATAAAATACATTTCTGGAAAACTGTGTATAAATCAATATATTGACTCCCAGCCCTGACTGATTCTCAGGTGTTTCCTGGAAGGGGGCCCTGGAGCATCCTGGGAGGAAACGCCGCGGCTGAGACCATCCCACCCCCACAGGGGGGCTGTGCCTGGCCACGCCCTGCCCTGCCCAGGTGGGAAGAGGCCCCGGCGGCTCCTCTGGGGAACCCTCTGCTCTGGGGCCGTTCCCTCCCACCGCAGCTCCCACTGCGTTCTCGTCACCTCTAGACGGGGAGCCCTGCTGAGCCCACTGCCGCCCCACAGTCCGCTCCCAAGAGCCTTACGCAGCGATGGAGATGTTCGCAGCAGACATAGGGCTGACTTCGGCCACTTCTTTGGCCTTTTGCAGAGCAAGCTTTTGATTGGCTGCTTCTTCCATCTCCTCTTCATCCTGTTTGAACAAAGAGACACGTCCAGGCGCCCTGCAGGGTGCTGCAGCCACTCTCAGGCCATCGGCTCCTCCTCCTGGAGCTGTGTGTCCCTCTTGCCCTCCGTACCGCGGGGCCGGGCAGCCAGCCGTGCTAACACGGCCCACCTGTGACCCTACACTGAGTCCCCTTCCGCACAGTCTCTCTCTGGCACCCCAAGGGCCTTCGAGGTAATAGCCCCCCGGGTTCTTGCCTCAGTCCTATCTCCCAGGGTGCGGACGAGCCCCCTGTCTGTGCTTGCACTCTAGCCTGACTCCTCCTCTAGCCCAGGGTCCCGCCCGCCGCCCAGATGTTTCTTCTTGCTTCTACCATGGCACCTCGAACCTGCCAAATGCAAATATGTCCCTCCTTTTGTCCCACCTGCCCTCCCAGGAGCACCTGTCACACTTGAATCTCTCCTGAAGAGCCATGAGCAGGGGCAAGGGGCAGAGCTCTGCCCCTGGGGCTGGGTCCCGGCCCAGCAATACCCGTAAGAGCCATCACCAGGATCGTGTCCTGTGGGACCACGTGCTACCTTTGAACTTTCCCACCTGGACTTACTGGTCACGTCTGTCTACCTGTCGCCAGCTGTGACTGTGGGAAGCTCTTCTCTGTCTCCCCGACACCAGGACAGCCACTTGCAGAGCCTGGCCCTGTGCTCCACCTGGCTTTTGCCACTGGGGCTGGGCATGTGAGCAGACACCCTGTCCTGCCTCTGCCCCCTGCCTGGGAAGGGGAGTGGACAGATAGACAGACCCTCTGGCCCTGACCCCACGTCACTGAACAAAACCAACGTGCTCTGCTCCTCACTTCTAGATTAATAGCTTAGAGCTGAGCCCGTAGGCCCCGGAGAGGAAGCTACGACCTCCATGTCATCCCTCTGGACTTCCGAGGCCACCTAGCCCAGGCCCACGTGGCTCCTCTGGAAGCTAGCATTCCCAACATTCCCCAAAATGTCCTTGAATCTGCTTTTTGGGGCACAATAATGGCAAAAATTAAATCCCCTGTTCGCTGCCTCTAAACTTCTCACCACAGAGAGACCTTCCAACTTCAGGGAGACCCACCACAGAACAGCCACGCCCAGGCCCTTCCCTAACGATCTGGGCTCCATCCTGGTTCACAGCCCTCTGGAGAAGCAACGTCACCAGTCACTCCAAAGACTGTTCTAAAGTGCCCTGAAAGACCTACAAACAATTCGACTTGAATTTATTCCTACTTCAAAAAATAAGCAACGCTATGTTAGTGGGCGTATGAAGGAAGGAAAAAGCCAAGTCCTGCCCTCCGGGGCTCGTGACCAGCCTAGAAAACACCCCCAGGCAGACACAGGCAGGCCCCAGTCCTCAAAGCAGGGAAACCCCTAAATTAGGGTGGTTATGTGTACAGGGACACAGGGCCCCAGGACATCACCCTCTCAGCGTGTCCTCACTCACAGCAGAGCTTGAGAAGACAGTGGGAGCCTCCGTGCTCCAGCATAGCCCTGTCCCGGGACAGCTCTGGACGGATGGGTGCCCTCAGCCCAGGCAGCCCCACCAGGGCTTGGGCCATTCTCCGACCATGCCTGCATGGCGCATCTAGGTCCCGGCCCAGGCTGACGACAGAAATGGGCAGAAGCCACGGGCCAGAGCCAGGGAGAAGTCTAGACCCACAGTGTCGCGGGAGCAGGCCTGAGCAGAAGCACGGGGAGGCGCAGGGGGTGGCAGACACAGGGCAGGTGGCTGTGCCCTCCTCCCAGGGCTGGGGGTGGAGCAGAGGCACCCGCACAACACATACGCAGAGGCACCGTGGCACACCAGCCCAAGGCACCTGCCTCTCTCAGCCCCAGAACAGGGAAGGTATTGAGAGACTCGGGAAGCACTGGGCTGGAGTGACAGAACCATGTCAGACACATATGTGCACAGAGGCAAGCACACGCAGACGGCTGTCCAGGACGGTGCACTAGCGGAAGAGCACACACATGTGGCATGCACACAGAAAGGTACACACGCAGGTACATGCCCAACACACAGAGTGTGCACACAGGACGTCTGCAATGAGTATATGCCAACCCAGATGGTCGCGCCCCCCATGCTGGGAGCCAGGGCTCGAGCTGAAGCGCAAGCTTGAGGCTAAGACACAGGGAGGCCCAGCCCCAGTGTCCAGGGCTGGGGGTACGAGGGGCAGGGGCGACCAGGTGGGGGCTGGTCATCTGGAGGGAAACCACAGAGGGAAACGTGAGCAATCACGTTCCCCGCCAGGCTCGGGGATGAGGCGTGAATACTGAACGGCACCCACTGGGCGCTGCCTGAAGCAGCAGCTGCCCTGCTGTGGCACAGACGTGCCAAGAGAGGCCACCAGCCAGGCCCAGCATTGAGGGCAGCACCAGGGGGGTCCCCTCTCTGCACTTCCGGGTCCTCAGAGCAGGGCACTCCCTAGGAGCCCCCTCATGCCTCCAGCCCGCCCCTCCTGCTCCCAGCACCCCGCCCTGCCGGTTCAGGCCATGCCGGCTGGGCGGTGACTTCTCTGGGAGCCGCTCACGTGTCTGTCCGCCTCCTGCTCGACGTCTCTGATGCTTCCTGAGCTCCGCCCCACACCCCCCAGGTCTGCCTGTGCGGGCCTCGAGGGGACACTCCTGGACAGCAGTCAGGACCTGCCCTCCCTCAGGACTCTGCGGCCTCATCCAGAGTCACATGGCCTGACCCCCAGCCCCGCCCTGCACACGGGTGCAGGTGGTGTCCCTGCCTACCTTGGTCAGCTCCTGGGCGTTGGCAAGGTTGTCCACGGCAATGGCCAGGAAGACATTGAGCAGAGTGTCTGGTTGGCTCCAGCTAAGGAAGGGAACCTTCTGCCCCTCACACCGTCCCACCGTTGCACCAGCCCACCCCTGTGAAAAACAGGGGCCCCCACCCTCCCAGATCCCCACCAGCTCCAGCCTCCTGTTCTTGGCTCCCCCGGCCCCCGGCCCCTGTCATGGCCAGACACAACCCAGCCCTGTAGCCAGGGCCCTGCTGGGCACCAGCCTCTCTGCCCGCTCCTCCTTCCCTCGGCCTCACGCCTCCCAACCTCCCCCAGCCCACGTGGACGCTTCCTCCATCTAGCTCTTTGGAGCTGACTTCAGGGCCGTGCAGCCTGAAGAGGGGGTACAGTCTGCGTCTGTCCCCCCCGTTTCTGGCCTCCCGACAAGCACCTGCCTGCACGGGCTCCAGGTGGGGCTCCCCCACCTGTGGGCCCTGTGAGCCTAGACCACCTGGGACAGATGTGAACACAAAAACCCACCTGTCACCAGCACAGCCCAGGCCCCAGGCCCGGCTCACAGACACCTGCCCAGTGTTGCCTTCTCCCTTCGTTCCCCTTCCCACGTGACGTCGAGGGTGCCTCTCCCTTGACATGCTCCCTTCTAGAGCAGCAGGGCAATGCCAGAGCCATGAGGACAGTGGGCAGCACACTCTTGAGTGGCCGGCACGGCACCCTCACCTCAGACGGACCCCCGGGAGCCAGTGTGAGGTGGGGCCACAGCCCCTCTAGAAAGGAGAATGCCGAAGCTACAAGGTTGGTCCCCGTGCAGACGCGGGCCTGGGCGAGCGGCCTCTTCCTCGAATCCCCTGGGACCAGCCTTTGTTCCGTCACTGAGCTGAGTCGCTGTGTTTCCCTTGCAAAAGGAACTCTTCTATTGCTTCAAGCTACTTCTTTTTCACGTTTAATAATTTGTTTTTGTTGAAAAAGAATGACACTTTCTGAAATTGTGGCTGCACTAAACAATCCATGCTGAGTGGTCCCCACCCTGGCAGGTCGTCTCAGCCGACCTCCGCCTGCAGCCGCTCTCCTGAGCACTGGGCTGCCTGGCTCTGAGTTCAGTGAGTCGCAGCAATGGGCAAGCAGCTGGCGCACCTGCCTTTCCTCCTCTGTGCAAAACAGAAAAGGGTTTTGCACCCTGAACAATGTGAAGTGGTTTTTTAAAGTTGCACGGGCTCTGTCCTTCAGGAGGGTGATGCAGAGGTGGGTTACCCTAGGGAGGAGGAGTTTGACTGTTGAGATTCCTGCTGAGCCCTGCTGGCCGCTCAGGGCCCTGTGCCCCCGGCCACCCCGTAACGGACTTTATCTGAAGCTGGAGTCTCACTTTTATTTTACCAGGCAAGCTACCGAGACTTATTTTCAGGATAAACAGAAGAGGTATAAATTTAAGAGGCGATCGAGAAAGTGACCACATTTTGTAAAGAACAGAACTGCAACGGATAGAATCTGCAATTTTTGGAAAGGTGATGCTGTAGCCTTTTCCGCCCAGCCTCCTTCCCCTTGATTTCACTGGTTTATGCACTTTGAGGAGAAAAGAAGGCACGACCAATGAATCGTCGCATGGGAAATGAAGAAATCAATCCCCCTGGGGAAACTTTTTTGTAGGAGATTGTAAGAATGTACGAGCCCAAACCAAAATGGCTTAAGAAAAGACGGTTTCCTACAGGCAATCGCATGAACGTTGATGGAGACGGACGCTACAGTGCTGTGAGGTTTACGATCGAAACTCTTTTGCTTTGAATTTTGTGTTTGCTGAGCTCGACTTGATCAATGATTGACAGGTTCCATCTGTGATGCCGGGGAGCGTTTTCCAGCAGCCACTTCTGCGGGGCCTCGACGACACCAACGGCAACGCCAACAGAAGGAAAAACAGTGTTGCTCCAGTGACCTTTTAAGCCCACCTGATTTACAATGTTCAAGGAGGTGCACGGTTTTTAGATCTTGCGGCCAAAGCTTTATTTTCCAGATTTTAATCTGAAGGAAGAGAACACAATTTATTTAAAATGGCTGACAACGAAGGATTCCCGTGAGCGTCTTTCTTTATCAGTATGGCAATAAATAGCAGCTGTTGCGAGTAATGAGCTGACGTTTATTGAAGCTTCTGAGTCAGTCATTTTTAACTCTTTCTATGCCATTAGCCATTTGAAGGAATGATGAATAAAGCTTTAGGGCTTCTGGGGTTTTCTGCAGATTCTAGATATTAACCCCGTCAGATGAGTAGTTTCCAAATATCTTCTCGCATTCTGTAGGTTGTCTTTTCGCTGTTGGTTTTTCCCTTTGCCATGCAGAAGCTTTTTAGTTTGATGTGATCCCATTTGTTTATTTTTGCTTTTGCTGCCTGTGCGTTTGGGGTCTTATTCGTAAAGTCTTTTCCCAATGTCCTGAGGTTTTCCCCTGTTTTCTTCTCGTGCTTTTTCATTTTGGGTCTTACATTTAGGTCTTTGATCCATTTTATTTTTATACAGGGTGAGAGCTGCATGTGGATGTCCAGTTTCCCCAGCACCATTTGCTGAAGAGGCTGTCTTTTCCCAGTTTTCTCGGCACCTTTGTCAAAATTGGTTGGCTGCAGACATGCGGACTCCTGGGTTCTTTGTTCTGTTTCATTGGTCGTGTGCCTGTTCTCACGCCAGCACCATGCTGCTCCGGTTACGACACGGTCTGACGGTGCCATGCCCCAGCTCTGTTCTCTTTGCTCAGGATTACTTTGGCTATTCAGGGTCTCTTGTGGTTTCACGCGAATTTTAGAATTTTATTTCTGTTTCTATGTGAAGAATGTCATCGGTATTTTGAGTGTACTGAATCTGTAGATTGCTCTGGGCAGTGTTGTCATTTCGAGAATGTTAACCGTGACCGTGATCACGGGTGTCTTCCCAGTGTGAGTCCTCTTCAATTCTCTCACCAGTGTTTTGTGGTGTCCTTAAAGAGGGTTTTCAACTCCTTGGTTAAATTCATTCCTAGGTACTTTATATTTTTGTAGCTTTTGTATATGGGGTTGCCTTTATTTCTTTTTCAGCTAGTTCATTGTTTGTGTACAGAAATGTTACTGATTTTTACATATTAATTTTACATCCTGCAAATTTACTGAAATTTTTTACAAGTTCTAAGAGTACTTTGGTAGTCCTTGGGTTTTTTTCTGCATGTAAGACCACGTTATCCACAAACAGGGACAAGCTGACTTCCTCCTTGCCAATCTGGATGCTCTTTCTTTCTTTCTTTCTCTTTCTTACTTGCTCTGGCGAGCACTCCAGAACATGCTGAAGAGGAGTGGTGAGAGTGGGCGTCCTTGTCTTGTTCCAGTTCTTAGAGGGCTTTTCCCCACTGAGTCAGATGTTAGCTGTGGGTCTGTCATATATGACTTTACTATGTTGAGATACTTTCCTTCTTCCTAATTCATTAAGAGTTTTTATCATGAAGAGATGTTGAATTTTATCAAAAGCTTTTTCTGCATCTATTGAGATGATGATATGGTTTTTGTCCCTCATCCTATTGGTGTGACGTATGGTGTTTGTTCATTTGTGTGTGCTGAACCGTCCTCGTATTCCTGGGAAAAATCCCACTTGATCACTGTGTATTGTTTTTGACGTAGTGTTGGATTTGGGTTGCCAGTATTTTGTTGAGGATCTTTGCATCTGTGTTCACCTGCATTGGCCTGTGGTTTTCTTTTTTCTGTTGTGTCCACACCTGGTTTTTGGTATCAGAGCAGGGCCCAGTACATGATCATATGGCTTCTCAGCTGGCCTAGGTGCACGTCTGCTTGGGTGGCCCACAGGGCTGTTTTTCCAGCTCAGCAAACATGCACACAGCTGCTCCACTGGCTGGGGGGTCCCATCTGCGGGAGGAGGCCCATGAAGCTGCTTCTCATGCCCAGGATGCTTGGCTGTCCTGGGGGCTTTTCTGTAGGGCAGGGCCCACAGGGCTGTTTTCTCAGGCCCAGGACATGGGCACAGGGCTACTCGGTTGGCTGACGGTGTACTTGCCAGGAGCAGCCGGTGGGACTGTTTCTCAGGCCCTTACAGGGGGGCTCCGGGCCATTGGGCAGGTCAGGCATATGTCTGTAGCTGCTGTGGGGCTGCTGCTCAGGTCCTAAGTGTATCTGGGGCCTGTCAGCTGCTCAGAGGCTCAGGGGCCCCCCTGCTTGGGGAGGGCACACATGGTCTGGCCTGCTCACCCTGGGTTCGCCCTGGGCATGCTACTCCTCTGGCTGGAAGTACGGCAGTGGGGGCTGGTTTTCCTGCTGTGCAGGAGCGGGGCGTCAGCTGATCCCAGCCCGAGCTCCGTGCAGCTGGGGCTGTGGTGCTCAGCCACCCACATGTGCTTGGCATGATGACGACGGAGCCCCAGCGCCATGGAGGTGCGGTGGCTACTGGGCCCGGAGCAGGGTGTGCTCAGAGGTAGCTCTGGTCTCAAGAGGGCGCAGTGCTGCAGCAGCCGGCCCACGGTGGAGGGACAGGGGTGGGGAGGGCACACCTGGTGCCCCTCATCCTGGGCACAGAAGCCGCGTGAATTCCCAACAGCTCTCCACGCGGGGCGCAGGGCTCGTGGGGACTGCAGGTGTCTGTAGTGGCAGTGGGGTGGTGGGGATGCTCTGCTCGCCTTTGCCCTGCAACGGGAGTCCCTCCTGTCTTCAGGCAGACCCGGGCCAGGTGGGGGGGCGGAGCTGGGGAGGACGGGTGCCTCCGCGCTGCCCTCCTGGCCCCCAGTCACCACAGGCGCATCCGCGCCCCGCTGCGCTCCAGGGCTCTCTCTGGCCCTCTCCAGTCAAATCTTAGCTGCTTATTCATCACCGTGGTCCTCTCTTGTGGGGAGGACGACGGCTGGGCATCTCCGGCCAGCGGTCTCCAGCCAGCCGTCTTGCTGACGTTCCTCTCAGGAGCCGCCGTCCCCCAAGCTCCTCCGGCTGCCAAGCTGCCCTTCTCCAGACCTGTCCTCTGCGACACGGTCCGGCGCTCTGCTGACTCGGCGCTGCGCCTGCCAGACTCTGCGCACCCAGCAGCCCCTCCCCTCAGCCCTGACAACCAGCGATGACTCCGACACTGCCAGGCGTCCCCCGGGGCAGAGTGCTGCCCCGCTCAGAACCCTGTCCCCCACGTCACTGAGCACATTTCGCTACAGCCCTGGGGACTCATCCTGCCCAGGCTGTGGCCACTCTCCCGGTGGCTCTGGCCGACGCCAGCCCAAATGGCAGATGGCTCTTTATGAGGCCAACAGAAATGACCCTGTGGGTCAGGCCTCTCTCTAGCTGGCAGACGCCCCCTCTCTGGCGCTCTGGGCACTGTCGCCGTGTCGCCGGGCACTGCCTCACGGGCCAGTCTGCTCAGAGCTCCAGCAGAGCCCACGGGACAGAGGCTGAGGCCGGGCTGACCCCACGCAACACCTCCAGGCACTAACCCAGCCACGGACACCCTCAGAGGCCTCTCCGTGCCCAGAGAGTGGGACTAAGGGACATGCCCCTTGAGACCCAGACAAAGGGACATGTAGGTACAGTAGCAGCAACTCTGATTGGACAGGGAGGGGTACACCGTACAGCCAACATGCCTGGCCTGGGTGTCAGCGTCACACTCGGCTGTGGTGAGCAGCAGCCATTGCTCTGTCTCGGCAGTGGCCCTTCCTTCTAGACACCAGCCGTCCCCACCTGAGGCCAACACTGCAGCCTCTGCCCCCTCTGACCACCACGGTGGCATTTCCTTGATCCCTTCCACGCCAGCCCTGGGCCCACCCACCTCCGCGGCGCACGCGGCTCCCTGAAGCTCCCTGGCTCCCCCTGCCTAGGCTCAGACTCAGCCTCCGGAGAGGCCGGCTCCCCCCAGGGTCCAGGACCCAAGCGGTCACCTGAAGGACCATCCCACGGCTACGCACGAAGCTGAGGGGTGGGAGTCCCAGCTGGGGCGATGCTAGGAGAGACGGAGCAGAGCAAGGGAAGAGGAGACAGGGAGACAGGAACAGAGAGAAACAGAGTCTGCGGTGCAGAAGCTCAGCCCTTGGCACAAGAGCCAGCGAGGCGGGGACAAGGACAGACAGGGTCAAGTGGCCAGGTGTGTGGAGGTGAGCCGTGTGTGAGAAGATGGGAGGGGACGCAGACAGGGTGGGTCGACTGTGACATCACAACTCACAGACATTCATCTGTGGCTCAGACCTTCTTCAGGGCTCCACAGCACGTTCTAACACAGTGGTTCTCAAAGTGGGGTCCCCAGACCAGCAGCGCCGGCCCCCCGGCAGCCTGGTGGATGCACATTCCCAGGCCCTAGCCCAGCCCTGCTGGATCTGCGGGACTCTGATGCCCAGGTGAGTTTGAGAACCAGAGACAGCCCTGCTGTGCCTCAGCGTCCCACCTCCGCTGCAGTGGGACCGCACTCACACCTGGCCTCTCACGGCTTTGCCCCACTCTGCACTGTGAACCCCGCAGCTTTTCCTTCTGGATTTTTCTTGGCCCCAACCCTTTGCCCCTCACGGCGTCTGCCTGACGAAGAGCTTCCCACCTGCTGCTGGGCTTGCCCCGACCCCACGCACCCGCCGTCTGACACGAGGTCCTGAAACAGCCCAGCTGTCGTCCTCCACGGAAAACTTTTCGTCACATTTTTCCGCAAGGTTTATGTTTTCAGCAGGGCAAGGTTTTCTTTTTTAAGCCCAGTGCCGAAACTTAATCACTCCACTAAGTCAAAGTGGAAAAGAAAATGGCCGCCCTCAGCGTTCAAAGCCTCCATCTTCCCGTGAGGCTCCCAGGTCCTCCCTGAGCCGCTGACTGACCCACCCGACCCGCCTCCGGACACCCCACGTGCAGCCCACGCTTCCCCCAGCCTGGGCCCCGTGGCCTCCAGACGTCCGTGTTCCGGCCGCGTCCGGAGCGTTCACCGCGGGGGCGTAAGTCTGAGAACGCCCCTCTCGCGTTCACGGCCGACGTGCGCCCCCCGTGCTCCCGGGACAGCCGAGAGGCGGTCGCGGGCAAAATAGTGCCGAGCGCCAACCACCCTCGTGCCCGGCCCCACAGAAGGATACAGTTTCCAAACAGCGTCAGGACGATGAAGTAAAAGGAGGAGAACATGCCTTTGCTGACGCCCCCTTGCGATTCGATGCCGTGATACATCACTGCGTTCCAGTCCTCTCCCGTCAGGATCTGTGGGGAGAGAGCTCCGCAGCGCGCGCCGGGTTCCCGCCTTCCCGCGCGCACCGGGTTCCCGCCTTCCCGCGCGCACCCGGTTCCCGCCTTCCCGCGCGCACCCGGTTCCCGCCTTCCCGCGCGCACCCGGTTCCCGCCTTCCCGCGCGCACCCGCGCCCCCCGCGCGCACAGACACTCGGGCGTTAGACGGCGGTGCTTCCGGAGGTCTAGACGACCCAGGGTCCTCCAGAAAAACTTCTACAAGGACATGGCTGCCGCGCTGGGTCTTAAAGGGTGAATATGCTCTAGGTTTTCAGCCAGAAATGGAGCGAGATCTCCCGGCAGGAAAAGAAGGGAAAGGCAAGGTGGCGAGCGTGGAGAGGGGACGCAGAGCCGCCCTTGTCACTGTGCGCAGCTGAGGGGACTGAGGTTCAGCACACGGAGTGGCCTCCCCATGGCCACGAGACGGAAGCAGGGCCTGTGACCCTCCGGGCTCCTGCCTCCCTGGGCCTGGCGGGTCCACCCTCACAGCCTGGCTAAACGCAATCCTTGCCCCGTCAGCGAACGCGCGTCTCTCTTTTCTACTTTTATTTTTGGAAAAGTGCAAGAGAATGAAATCACCGGTGGAAATTGTTAACATCCTGCCCTATCTGCATTGGTCCTACTGCCCTACAGGCAACCCCAACCATGGATCTGGTGCAGATACAGTCTTTTTTTTTCCCCCCCACTTTCAGTATGGTTTTGCTTTTTATGGATAATATTTGTACACATTTATGGGGTACATGTGGTATTTTCGTACATGCTTACAATGTGTAATGATCAAATCGGGGCATTTAGGATATCCATCACCTTGAACGTTTATCGTTTCTTTGTGGTAGGAACATTTCAAATCTTATCTTCTAGTTCTTTCGAAATATACAACATATTGTTGTTAACTATAGCCACCCTACTGTGCTATCAAACACGAGTTATTTCTTCTACCTAACTGTGTGTTTGTACCCATTAACAACCCTCTCTTCATCCCCTCCTTCTGCCACCCACACACCCTTCTCAGCCTCTGGTACCTATAATTCTATTCTCTTCACGAGATCCATTTTTTTTTTAGCTCCTACAATATGAGTGACAACATGTGATATTTGTCTTTCTGTGCCTGGCTTATCTCACTTAATATGATGACCTCCAGTTCCATCGACGTTGCTGCAAATGACAGAATTTGTTTTTTATGGCTGAATAGTATTCCCTTGTGTACATACACCACATTTGCTTTGCGCATTCCTCTGCTGATGGATACTAAGGTTGATTCCATATCTTGGCTACTGTGAATAGTTCCGTGATAAACATGAGGATGCAGGTACCCCTTTGATATAATGATTTCCTTTCCTCTGGATAAATACCTAGTAGTGGGATGGCAGGATTGTATGGTAGTT